ACAAAAAGGTTCCGTCCAAATTTGCGTAGGTTACAAAACCAGTAAGTGCAACCTGACATACAAGGGGCAGAATATGAGCGCAGCATGGGATAAAAAGCGAAGAAGATCAACCAGTTTTAGGAACTCATTTGCAGATCGACCTAGATCACCCATAGGGATTTCATGAAGTCAGACATCGAATTCTTTCCAGAAAAATGGATTTAGTCCGAAATTTGCCCAGGAATCATCAAGGAACCCTTAGATATTCAAAGACAACAGTTTTGACAAATTCATGCGAGTAAAAATCATTCAAGATACTCCCGAAAGTACCGAAATCGTACTACTGCTAGCCTCTACTCGAGAGAAAAATGATTCACGGACCGCAACAATCGTCAAGGAAAAAACTTCTCGCAAAGAGAATCTCTTACTCATCAGCAACATACCCACAACTCATCGTGTGGTGATCATTCTTAGGCCAGTGCTATCTTCTGGGAAAAGAGCGGGAATAGTAGTACCATTCTTGCTAAAAAGGGCCAAAGGGCCAGGACGAGGAACAGATAGGGCCCAATAGCGACACTGCTCATTCACAAAGGTATAAAAGCTTCACGAGAGTTGAAAAGATCCAAAACATAGAACATATTTGGTAAAACTTGACAAAAAGACGGACTTAAATGAACCTTACCGTATTCAGAACGCTCATCTGAACCGTCATTACAGTCCTTTTTACGGTCACATCTCTGATTTCCAGGGATGCAACTTCCATCGGCACATTGAAATTCTTTCGGTAAGCAGTTTGAGTTTGCATCTATAAAAAGCTATTTAATTATGATGTACAGTAATTATTGTTTTGGCTTTGGAGGGGGTGGGACCAGGCGGGTTAATCCCGATCAATCGATTAGTAAAGTACGTTTGAGATATCGAGTGCGGAGAGAGAAAATGCCTGAACACACACGCTACAAACATTCGTGCACTTGAAGGAAAGCCTTTCAGACACTCAAAGGCATCCGTGGTGGTGAAGGGCACACCCGAATGAATACACCAGAGCGAGACCTCGGATAACATGGAATTCGAAGGCGTCGCCGGAGACACGATACGAGCCGATGAAGCCGTCGTCGATCGCCTTTCGAAGACGTCGTTTCACCTTTTTCGACAACATCTCATCTGAGTAGATGTCAAGGTAAACCAGCGTCCCCAGGTCCTTATGATACCTGATACAAATTGTTTGAGTCAGTAAACAACAGCTCAATACCGAGCCGACTGGGTAACATTACCTGTACTGGTATACGGTAGCATTGTGTTGTCCAGGTAGGTCAACTAGTAATCTATCAACGGCATGCGCAATTTCGCGTGACGTCTGTAGAAAGCCCTTGGAACCGACGCTCTGTAGCTCTGTCGTGTAGTCGAGTTCGGGCAGATTAATAGTAATGCGGTAGATGATGCTCAAGGAGAGCGCGGCGTACAGCGAAGGCAGCATGCCGCGAACTGTCTCCCAATGGGCGGAGCGCCGGCACTCGCCGAAGCTTCAGCAGCAGCATCCTGTTTGAGCAAGCAACGATGACCAGCACGAAGTTTGAATTGAAACTGCTCGAAAGGGGGCGGAGCTCGGCGGCCATTGTGCCGTCTCTGCGATCCGTACTCTAGGTCTTCAGTGCTTTTTGGTAAGACCTTGAAAGCCCACAAAGGTATTGACTTTCAAAAAATAGCGACGCTGCTCTTCCTCTTCTTTTCCATTAGCCATATCAGTGATATAAGCTCTTGAAAATCTCTCTGCACTTTTTATTATAGTGACCCTTCCCTCGTGAGCTGCCAAATTAGCAAATATTTTCCGTAATGACGAATCAGAAAATTTGAGAAAATTAAGAAAAAAAGCACAAATCGGTCACTAGAGGTTGACAACGCTGTTCCAAGATCGCGCCACGCGTTGGAACCTATATTCAATATCAGGGTTTTCCTTGAATTATGTTAGGCCATGATCTTCTCGTGCAAGAAGTAAATA